ATCTTCCATTTATATTGCATTTCACATGGTCTTACCTTCCCAAAAGGTATTCTCATTCAAGCTGAAGTGGACTGCAGTTTCGACCTCGCCTCAATTGGTCGCATCAACACGCCCCGCGAGACTCGGACCATGACTGTGCAAGGCTTAATCTCGACACATTAACCAATACGCAACGTTGCCATCAGTGCCCTCGAATCACAGGGCGGATGCGAATTTCAAGGAGACCAGGCACTTTCCCATATCACATTCCGTGTTGGGATTGTCGATATGCAAAGTTGTATTTGCTTATTATATATATTATATTACATATTTTTTATTTATAAATATGTTCTTATATCTCCTATATATAGTCGATTGGTCGTCTCGAAAACCTACTTATAAACTAAACAATAATTTCTTCTGTTGTTTATGTTAAAGTTATTGAGGAACTTTTTATTTAATTTGGTTAAAGATGAAGAAGATTTTTCTTCAAAGATGTCATGATTTTTACACCTCTCATGTGCAACTGAATTGTTTTTTTATTACTTATCCGTATTGGTTTTGGTGTATATTATTATATTTCGTATGTAAGTAGAGTTTCGAGACTACCATTAAATCAGTAATATGAGATGTATCACCATAGTTCGTTTAAGTTGAAGAAGAACTGGTAGTAGAATTTTCCCACAACGATATGAGTAGAGCTGACGTTTCCATTGAATTTTGCATTGCCTTGCTTTCCCAAAATTTGTTCTCATCCAGGATGAAGTAAACTACAGCTTCGACCTCGCATCGGTCTTATCAACGCCCCAAGCGGGAGTCGAACAGCGGGATGAGAACAACTTTTGTGACAGCAAGGCTATGTGAAATTGAATGGCAACGTCAGCTCTACTCATTTAATTGTGGGAAAATTCTACCTTCAGTCCTTCATCGCGTTAAACGAAATAGGGTGAATACATGTTATATATTTGTATAGCTAAAGAAGCATACATTCATATGGAGGTTTGGTATTACTTAAGGTATGGCAATAATTCTTTGGTCTGGGTTGTTAAAGTTTACCGAGCCAAGGAGATTGTGTTGTCTTGCCCGCCAGTTTTGGCTGGTGAACCTGAAATTGTTGTTGAAAAAGTGTGAATTTGGTTAGAAGCATCACTCGTCTGGAAGTTTAGTCATCGTCTTTTTGGACGCTGGCTTAACACACTCTTTCTCCTTCAATCTCTTTCAATCAAGCATAAGTAATTCTTACTTAACTTTCTACCACCATTCTTCACATGCAACGTATTCCCAAAATCCATTCATTTTGATAACCTCTCTTATCTTGTGCTTCATAACAGACATACCATAATCATCAGACATCTCATGTTCAGTTTCAAATTAATTTTTTATAAATCAAATTCTTTGTGCAAAAATTAAATTGCTAATTAAATAAATTAAGTAGTACTTATAATTGATTCGCATTTTTGTGAAATTATAAAATCTTTTGAAGCTAGCGTATTTTCGAAACCCAACTTGTCTTCATAATAAAATGTTTATGAGATGTATTCACCCTATTTCGTTTGAGGTGATGAAGGTCTGGTAGTAGAATTTGCCCACCAGACCTTCATCATCTCAAACGAAATAGGGTGAATACATCTCATCTTACTGATTTATTGGTAGTCTCGAAACTCTACTCAAACTCGAATAAAATGTTTGGTTCAAGAACTTCGTTCCTTTGGTCGTTTAACATGATATAAGGACTAACAGTTGAATTTTCCCACAATGAGATGAGTGAGTCTCCCAGGTCCATTACATTTCATTTAGGCTTGGGTCTAAAAGGCCCTGGTTCAACTCAAATTACGTTTAGAATAGGATTGCGGAGCTTACTTTCATTTCGAGTGAAAGAGTTGGGTGAAGAGACTCGAAGGTCGGTTCCACCAGAAGACGACGGTGGATTCCTCTTTACCAGTTGTCGATTGGCTCTATTGGAACATTAATGCCGACGCTGTTTCCGAGGTAATCCCCTTCGATTCAGGTGAAAATATGCTAAACTTTTGTCCGTCATATGACGAACATCATCGGAGCAAGATATCATCGTCACAACCAAATTCAAGCTAACAGGTCAAGAAAGCTCTCCGGCAAATCCCTAAAAAGCTTAGCACATTTTCACCGGAATCGAAGAAGTTGGCCTCGGAAACAGCTTCAACAAGAATGTTTTAGTAAAGCCAATCAACCGTCGTCTTCTGGTGGAACAGACCTTCGAATCTCTTCACCCAACACTTTCACTCAAAATGGAAGTAAGCTCAACAATTATGAAACAATAGATTCCTCGAAACCCAACTTTTCTTTGCATATAGAATAGGATTGTGTATTATAAAAACATGAATTTGTCCTCGCGATTGACGACGTTACTCATTTTCAAGACTTACTAATGGTCTGAGAACCTACCCATACCGAAGAAGTGTTATGGTGTTGGTTTGACCGTGTTTTCGAAATTTGTCTGAAGTGCCAGAAAGACATAATGGAGCATACCTGCGCCCAGCCTCGATCCGTTGACATGTTGCATTTCCTGACATTTCCACGGCATTGTCAGTTAGAGATGCAATCCGTAAAACATTGATACAACTTATCAAAGTTACGAGCAAAACATCTGGGAATTAATGTATCAAGTCAACGTTTCGATGCTGAAAAGAACCATGAATGATCCTATCGCAGAAGCTGTAGGACTGGGATTGTTCCACAAAGCGTCTCTTTCGCTCCGGCCAAGTTGCAAAGCAAATTTGAACCAGACCAGACCTGAGGCCATCCATCTTGTTCTTTGTATCTATGACACCAAATTATGTATGTAGCCAGTAAGGACTTCAGTAAAAACGTGCATACTATTTAGTTATATAAGATGTATTCACCCAATTTCGTTTAAGGTGATGAAGGACTGGTAGAAGAAGAATTTTCCCACAATGATTTTCACATAGTCTTGCTTTCCCAAAAGTTGTTTCTCATCCAGGCACCAGTGGACTGCAGTTTCGACCTCGCATCGGTCTTATCAACACCCTCAGCGGGAGTCGAAATTGAATGGAGACGTCAGCTCAACTCATATGATTGTGGGAAAATTCTTCTTCTACCAGTCCTTCATCACCTTACACGAAATTGGGTGAATACATCTCATACTACTGATTTACTGGTAGTCACGGAAACAACACTTAATTCGAAAAATAAACTATTTAGTTATTTTACTGAATAACAATTGAATAGACCTTTCTAGCATTCGCGGTAAAAATTTGTCTTGGAAAAAATTTATCTTTCTGAGCAACAAATGTCCATCCCCATACATTCACATGAAGCTGGCATAAACTTAGACTTTTCGGAACATTTTCGATGTATTTCTAGACTTAGTTTTTGGAGGAGATACGTTTCTGCTAGTTTCCATAAAAACAAAAATATATCATAGAAGTAAAGGACAAGATGGTTTTGCCTTCTGTTTGGTCGAAGTCTCCTTTAGCTTTAAAGTGTTGGCTCGACCCTGTTTTCGCAACTTGGTTGGAGCGTCAAGGAGACCTTGTGGAATGTACTTAGTCCCATGGACAATTCGTACAATCCTGAAGTACAGGACAACCTTCTTCACCAGCTTGCCCACACAACATGAAGAAGGCAACGAAATGAAGCGCACCAGAGTGAGAAGAAAAATATCTCGAAGCGACGGAAATTACAATCAGCTCAATGATGCAAGAAGACGAGCGACTTTGCAGAAAAATGGATACCGAAAGATCCGAGACATCGCCCTTACCGGCCACACAATCGACTGAAAATGCAACGGAAAGACTAGCCTCAAATGGGGAAAGTACCGGGAAACGGAAGATCAGGGAGGCTGTGGACATCCGATTTCAGATAAACCTGATGAACAAGAGATTGGAAGAGGGAAGAGTCAGCGATAACTTGGCTAAAAATGTACCCAAGGGTTCACCTGTGAGATGTAGGATATGAAATCAAAGGCTAAAGGGTCACCAGCGTGTGTGTGTATTTTTCATAACTGTATCTGAAGGAGAAGTGACTGGTGACAGGCTTGACCACAGAGGATACCAGCCAATACATACACACATGAACATCATCCAAACACACTATGCTTAGATAGGAATATCAACTTGAGAGACGAGAGGAGTGTGCTTTTCGTGATTCAAAGGATTAAGGGGAAGCGGTGCATTTTCATACCAGCGGTTATGATTTATGCCGGACACAGGGCCCCAAAGAATGAGATATAATGTGGGTGGGAATGAGGAAGAGGATAATTGTGTCATGGGTTTTAGGCCTAGGGAGAGAAAGATTACCAGGCACTGACATGTGCATCATCCGCTCTAACTTCTCGAGTATGGCAGCAGCCAATTGACAGGCGGATAGGAAAAAAGGTGGGGTAGAATGTAGGCCAGGGGACCCACAAACGGCATCTGGTACCGGTGGTGGGGATGATTGCGCTTCACGAAACCCACTTGTAGCGACACACTCTTAGGTGACCTTGGAGGAAACGAGAGCACAGAATTGTGTGAATAATTGGATGGGACATATGAAGTGTGGTTGATAGAAAGCGAAGAAGATAGAAGATAGAACAACAAATAGGGGCGAGGAGTGATGCGACAATGGTTGAACAGAAAATTGGTCAAGGGGATTGCCTCAGCTTGTCACTTTGGCAAGTTGTAACTTTGTGCTGACGGTGGCGCCTCCCACTGACGATGCTAGCGAAACGTTGGGGAATGGATCCAGCCAATGATCGAATGCTGGAAGTCACGAATACTATGACAGAGATACGGAAATCTGTACCTTCCACAAGGTATCCCTGACACACCGGCCACGTTGCGTAATTCCGTATTAAACAGCTACAAATCAAATGCTGTCTGTGTCATAATCTATGAATGTAGATACAAGTTCTAACCTAATAAATAGTAGGGATCTCGTGAGTTAGTCGTTTTTAATCATCTTTAGTGTGGTTAAAAGTGTGTAAAAAAATTGAACGGTAGGTATCATTCGTTACCTGAAAAATGAAGTTAAAATGTAGATACGAAGAGAAACTTGGTTCCGATGAATCTCCTGAGATAACATTGTTAGGGGGACCTTCATTTCGAATGAAAGTGCAGGAAGAAGAGATTCGTTGGTTGATCTCACCAACGGATGAACCTCTTTGTACAGCGGCCATTTAGTTTGTATAAGATATTTATGTTGACACAGTCGACGAGACTTACTACCTCGTTTTGGGTGAAAACGGGCTGAACTTTCGTCCATCAAATGATGAACATCATCAGAGATGAGTGCCATTGTTGTAAAAGTTAAACGTTTACTAGAATGACACCCAGCTCTGATGATGTCCATCATTTGATGGACGAAAACTCAGCACGTTTTCACCAGAAACGAGGGAGGAAGTCCCGTGGACTGCGTCAACATGAATATCCTATACAA